TTTTTTGGCTGCTGTTGTTCTATTTTCTTCTTCGTCGCAGTAGTGCTCTCATGCGTTGGCTTTCTTGGATCTTTCCATTAAATAATGCGAAACATTTTCGTACATAAGGAATGTGATCATCGTTGCTGGCACCACGCGCGTCAAATTGGGCTGTATACCTTTGTAAAAGCCTTTCGGGCCCTCATATCTGCAACGAGTTTGAGAAGAAAATAAAATGCATAGATTAATTAGTTAATGGTGTACAGAGACGCTTACCAGCTCCAGCGAACGTGCAAGTATTTTTTTTTAATACGAGTTTTCATTCAATTAGCAAATAGATTCTGCAAAACTGTTTAGGACTTACTGTATGGTATACAACAAATTTATATAGTATGCAGAAAATAAAATCTTACTTAAGCACGTGCGCACTACTTACTTTTTTTTCGTGAGCTGCTTACACTATTTTTTGTTATTATTTAACAGAAGTGGGTGGGACCAGACAGTCATGGGTATGTGACCAAAGTCATGTTATAGTTTTGCGAACAAGTCCGATCACACACTCAAAGCAGGCGTAACAGACAGGAATTTTGGTATCTACTAAGAGAGTACCTAAAATATTTACATATGTATGTATAACCGTTTTTTTTTTGTTTTCTTTTCGTGTAATAAGACAATTTTAACCATTTCAGAACAGCTTTACCTTTCTGATAAGTTTAATTAGGCTTTTATAAAAGCGGATTTTAATGTTTTAATTTTTTTGTTTGATTTTTTTTTCATTTGTAATAATTATGCGTAGCCATTACATATTGTTTTACATAAAAAGTTATGAAGAATCTTTTTGCCAAATGAATTAAATTACTTAAAACTATTGTCTACATTTTAATTTTTCGTTTTTGTACGCTAGCTAATCTTAAAATAAGTAGAATTTCAGCAAACTGAAAGATATTCGGCTCTCCTATATTTGTTAGCATAATTTTGTTACACAACTCTCATTACGCAATATTATTATTAATCAATCGAGCGTGCGTGTATTCGTTAATGGAAAAATTTGTTAGCTTATTTATACTAAAACGATGTCGCAGCTTGTCAACTAACAGCTCCAAACGCTTAAATAATGTCCGCTGTGCTTCCAAAACGACGACGACATTCCATGTCACAAATTCGTTATTGACAAATAATGACTAAAATGTTTCCAAATACGTAGACTGGCTCATGACAGTAATTACTAATTGGGATAAACTTTTCGATGCACTACTTGCTTTTCACTCTCCGCGCTAAGTTGTAGCCGCTCCTCTTGTCCACTTTGTCAATCGATTTAATTTTTGCGAATCTTTCTATCACATTTTTAGAATTCATACATTTTCTTTCGATACAATTTTACAAAAAGGATTTTAAGCTGCTTAATTGTTATAAATTCAGTGCAACTTTCAAAAGACTAATGCGATTTTATTGTTTTATACATAGACATAATATTATTTTGGTAGACTAAATTTATTTAAGTTGTACAATTTGGCGGACAGAAGGATGAAAGAAGTAGAATGTTTCTTTTTTTTGTATGCCAAAATGGAAAGACTTACTAGCTAAATGCGGAAATTATGTATCACTATTAACTAGTGGAATATTTAACTTAAATTTATGTGAAGTAAACAGTTACAAAAAATCGACGAGTGTAAAAGGCGAAGTTAAAAGAAAATAAAACTAGTAATGTATTAATATAGTGTTTAGTTAAAATACAAAAATAAATTTCAACAAAAAACAAGGAAATATATTAAACTAAAAAACGCAGCAGCTACATACTCTTCTCATCTTCTATAAATTTTTACATAGAATGTAATTGATACAACTTCATTCATATAAATTGTATATTGCTACTACCTACTTTAGCTTCTTCCATTTTCAATTGAATACACATGTACTGCAGCGCATTTTCACTGCCTCATAATTGAAAATTATTTTGCTTTCTTACAGCTAACAGCTAGCTGGCGTCATATAATGTATTTTACTATTTCATTTTCTACTTTCTTTTAATTAACATCAATACTACACACTTACGAGCACAATTATTTAGACAAATTTGTTAATAAAATGCTGCTTATTTATTCGGCATACATATACATATCGATAATGGAAATTTTCTTCTTGAATATTCGACTTTATGTTTATGCGTGTATGTAAGTAATTAGTAAAATTTGCATATTTGCTTTGTGGAAAATTGCTGCATACCCTAACTATTAATCGTATGCTTACTAACGTGCTTGCTGTGTGCATTTTCAGCGGTTTGCCTCATTTTATTATTTCTTTCTTTTTTTGTCTATTTCTAATTGGTCAGTTTCTCCCAAATGAGCATGACCATACAAATATTCGGTGTGACATGTACTAAATATGGTACTAGGCCTTTATAAAAACCACGCATATGTTCGTACCTCCATGTTTGCTTAATGCAATCCCATGAACCTGTATAGTTGAGATGATGATCCTGCAGGCGTGCACGTATCACCTGATAGGGATATGTTGCTGCAGCAGCGATGAGCTTCGATATGGCAGCAAATGCCAAATACTCAGTTGTGGCCTGCAAAGATTTAAAAGACAATAATAAAGAAGCGGCAAGGTGCTGAATATTTTCATTTTATGTGTAAAATTGTAAAATTAAAACGAAAAGCAGCGACTTTGAAATTAAAAAAAAAGAGCTGGGGTTCTATCCGGCTTTTTTGAATATCCTAATCCGAAAAAATCCGAATAATCGGATAAAAGGATAGCAAAATTTACGGATATTAACCGGATATTCAAATTTTATGCGAATATCTGAACGAATTTTATACGAATATCGTCCGGGTTTTTTCGGGATATCTTCGAGACTGTCTGGGATTTAAAAATTTTGTTCGAGATTTCCTTTTCATTAGCAGCTTTATCAAACTTTCTATGATTTATTCAGGACCCAAACTTTTGGTATTCATTCGGAATTATTCACCTTTAAGATGCATTTATATTAAGCATTTTAGCTGTCCACTTTGAGGAAACAAGCGATTTTTGTTGAGCAATGTTGAATCGCCTACATAATCGACCACATGCAAATGCAGCTTTATTTTAAATTTTCTCTAAAACTTTTGGACTTATCTCATTTGTTTTCAGGACTTTTCAAAACTTTGACGCCAAAAAGTATGCAAATCTTAATTTCTATAAATGAGCGCCTAAAAAATAAAAATGCAAAAATTTCTTGTTTTTTCTGCTAAAAAAAAATATCAGGCCAACTTTACCTTTAATGTATATACTCTTGCCTTATAAAAGATAAAAGGGCTTTATTGCTAAAAATACGAAAAGCGAAAAATTAACAAAAATTTTTCACTTAAATTATAAAATAACAGTTATCTCACTTTTCAAGTTTATATCAGCTTCACAAAGTCGATAATCGCGGCACAGATGTGGCCATTGTAACCACTTAATGAATTCGTATTCAAAAACAGAGACAACAATAAAAAAAAAACACAGAAATAAGCTAAATTTATGGGTTTGTTTTTTTTTTTGCAAAAAAAAAAATATTTCTGAGAAAGGTGCAACGTTCGCCTACTTTGTCGCATATTGACTCCGTGTTATCATTTTAATTATCACATATAAAAAGCGAATGTGTAAGTGAACAAATAGTCTAATAATTTTCTAAAAAGTCGCCCGACATACCCAACACATCAGCTTAGTATAAGTGAGTTTATTCTAAAGTCAAACAATTTTTATACATATTTATCGCCGCAATCGCGTCATACAAAAATTCGCTGTTTTATTTGGCATCAGGCCAAAAACCAAAGGCATTAAAACATTTCTAACAATGCAGATCGAGTATGTATGGCGGCGCGTGTGGCCACGAACATAACATGTGATCGTTGTGCGGGTGGGTAGAAATTTGTATTTCTTTAAGCATAGAGATGCAAAAAATTTTGTTAAGCAAAGAGCCTTCAAGGTTTCAGCATGAAATTTTTGACAAGATTACACAAAGAAAAAATGGGTTGGCCGATTGTATTAAATGTGTTGGCTAGATAATAAATATTATACATAATATTAATTCCATCACTCACCAATTTGGTGTCGATCGGCAATTTACGATATGTATTATAGTAGTTCTTCATCTCTTCATAGGTCATAAACTGCAAAGCTCCATGTGACACGCCAAACATGCCGGGAATGAAGCCCTAAATGTTGATCAATAGCATAAACGCATAAATATTTATTTTCACATCTATGTATATTTGTCGCACTTACCCTATACAAACCACGAATGCCCTCCTTACGGTAGATCTGCGCCAGCGCATGCACCATACCGCGATATTCCGACGCCTTATTGCCTGAAGCCTCGGCGCCATATTGTAAACACAAACGCGTCTTTACCACCCAAATGGGGTTTGTAAGTATCAGAGTGAGCACACCAGACTCAGCCGCGGCCAACATGTGCAATGTCGGTCCCAATGGCTGGGTCGTATTGCCGCCCTGTATGAAGGTCTTTATTGTGTTGTAGCTGAAATGGTGATTAGCTCAATTAAATAAAAAATTCCATATTGTAGTAAAGTGCAGCCAGAAGCAGTTAAAATACTTACAACATGAAATAGAACCCCCAAGCGGAACCTGAGCCCCAGATATTGGGTGTAACACCTTTGTAGAGTCCACGAAAACCTTCCTGTCGGAAAATAGTCGAGAATGCGCTGCTCAGACTGCTATATTGTGGCACTGTAGTTGTGCGTCCATCGTTTACTGTAAAATTGCCAAAAAAAAGAGGATAGTTGTTATTGCAGTAGAAACCAGTTTACTTTGCAATGAAAATTATTAAGAAATCCAAATAGAGATACATAGATATTTTAAAACGAAAGTCAATAAAAAAAAAACATATTCATAATACTTTTCACATAAACTACGTAATTTTATCGCCAACTTGTGTCGCGAATTGACGTCACATACGGATGTTTAAGAGCGAGATTTTGCTTAATTAGTTTCACATGTTGACGCTAAAATTGTAAACACAACTACAAGCATACGTACACGCATGTATTTGACAGGTTAATATACACTAGTATAGAGCAATAGAGATCTCTCTCTGTTAGCTAAAAATTATTTGCGAACTCAAATGTGAACAAATATTATGAATTACTGTACTTCTGTTAATATAATTTCCATTGTTTGGATAAATTACTATTAGAATAAATTTTCTCAAACTATGTATTTCGGCGAATGTAACCCTGCAAAAAGTGGGCACAAGAAAACCTGACATAGTTGAAAAACAAAAATATTTAAATTAACTTCATTTATTTATCATTGTAATATGCACGCAGGTACATATGTATGTATGTATATGAAATAAATATTTATTTTTGATTAGCTACCCACAGTAACAGTTAGAAAAACATTTTAAAATGCATGTAAATACATATTATTTACTAAGTACAAGCAAACAACAAATTCTAAAAATGGCAGTCTGGACAAGCCTCTTAACCTAACATATTTTCTTGTCGATAAGGAATAGACGTGGAAACAAACAAAATCATAAAAATTAATATGTCGATGGTCCCGTGCAATAACGACACAATGCAAAATTCAGAAAACAAAAACTATTACCACTCTTAAGTGGCTCATGTCTCTAATCCTTGTCTCTAATACCTGTCTAATTTTTTGTACTTACTTTATCAGTCCTTACTGCTTACTTTAGTAAGTAATGGAAATTGATTAGACAAGGATTTGAGACAGGAGCCTTTTAACAGTGGTAACAGTTTTTGTCTTTTGAATTTTTAATTATGTCGTTATTGCACAGGACCATCGATATGTAAAAATGTTTGTATGTATGTATGTTTGTGTGTAAACTTGGCTGGATCGCGAAAAAAAATCTGTAATACCGCCATAATTTGAAAACTGACAGCATTTTTCACCAGGGTAAATTTTATGACACTTGACGGTATTGTTCAAGCTCAACTAACGGTAGGTCCAGAAAACGTACTGTTTAGACGGGGTCTGAGCAGATGGAAAGGGGTGTTAGGTGAGTTCGGTTGAGTGGGCAGGTGAAGTATTGGTTGGTGTTGTGGGAGGAGCCTACACATGCGGGCATAAGTTGAGTATGTCAGGCTCTAGTCTGGACCGCAATTGGGCCAGAGTTACGCGAGTCTCTCTGAGTAGTTGAAGCTCGCTTTCATCCACAGGTGGTGATTGCCCTCTTATGATGGCATTCACCGACGGGAATGAGTGTAGGTGGTGACAGTCTCCCTGTGAATGCCGTTGATATCCAGTATGTACAGTACCGAATGCAGCGGTTTGTTGTATTGACATATTGTGGGCCACTTCTTAGAGGTACTTTTTGTCGTGCCTAGATGGAGATTCCGCCTAGAGGAAGTATCTGTTCGGGTGTTCACGTCTGTAGCACCCAACTTGGAACTGCTTGCTGTTTTTTACGGCATTTGGCGTGAAATATGTATGTATGTATTTATGTAAAGACACTTTGTCAAATGTGGTTAAAAAAACAGTGTACCAAAATAATCAAGGATTAGCGAGAACACTGGTTACATCAAGAACAGTCAAAATTGTGTGTGAACTCTCTCTGAACTCTAAATTGGTACTAGAATTAAAATTAAAACTACAATTAAATTAAAAAAAATTATTATTCAAGTCTCAAGTGTCTGTTGTATAAATTAGGTAAAAATAAATAAATATGTAAATAAATGAGGTAAACTGAGAACTACTATCTCTATCGACTAAATTGGTGTATGGTGTCAAGCACTACATACCATATTTAAAAAATGGGAGCTATTTACAAAAATTTTATTTGTTTTCATAATAAATTTACAACAAAAAGTCTACAATTAATGCCGTAGTTAACTTTTCCAATTTCAAAAAGTGTGGTGCTAACTTGACAACGTATTTTTTTTTTTTTTTGCTGATTACGAATCCTTAAGTGTGAGATCAAAGTGTCCAAAATCGCGTTTTTGCAATATTTTAGAAGCTTTAGCAAAGAAACAAAAGCTTATAGAATCTTCCACTTAGTCCTAAATTAAAGCTAGAACTGTCGACTACTACCTCTGCACCTTAACTTAATGGACACTTATATTCATTTATTGAACAGCAACAAACAAACTCTGATAACAAATTTTATAACATCAATTTGACTCTCAGCAATCGCTTGTTTTCCGTTAAAAATATTCGATTGCCACGCTTGTAATTCTCACGTTCGTAACCCTTGGCCCATATACGAAAATGGGACGATAATAAAAAAATTTAATTAATGCAACAACATCAGATATTTTTCCATAGAGATAGCTTGCTATCACTTAGCAGCCAATTACATTAACATTTTATACGCAAAACCTCTGCTGCAGCCCAAAATAAAATATGTATCAGCATTAAGAGCGATAAAAACACTATACATATGTACATACATGCAAGTCAGACTGTATTTGCGTTTGCAATTATCGCAAGCGTGATAAATATGTAATTGATTGATTTCAAGCACAGCAACAAGTTGTTTAGGGTTGGTTTTTTTTTGGCAAATAAATACCTAATACAGACATTTACAAATTTACCTATGATTAAAAAATATATATTCTCTTTTACCACTCAATATTAAAATATTCGTTATCACAGGACACGTATGCACGTACATACGTAAACAGTTTCAAGTGTAAATAATAAAAATAAAAGCATAAAATATAAAAAAAATCATCAAAACAATTTCTGGCCAACGCAGTACAGTCTGTTTTTTTTTTTTGGTTCTTAGTTTTTTTCGTGGCTTCTCTCTCCATAGTTGCCATGTACATACATACATATGTACGTACTTGTATGCATAAAAAAGGGGCTCGCTCGTCTGTGGCACGTTTCAACGATCGACGACGTCTTGACATCGCAGTCTATTTTTAGCAATGAACTCTCAGTTTAGCTGCCTCGCTTTTTTTTCACTAGTTACTTAAATAATTTTCTTGCACAAGTAATTTATAGATAATAGTTTTGTTGCTTCGTTGGCTTTTTTTACGCAGTCGTGTAATTAACCATGAAAAGCGTGTATGTGGTTATAGATACAATTCAATATCGGGAACAGCCACATAGGAATAAAAGAATTGGCTAATCTAAGATATGCATTTTGCATTCGCTTTTAAGAGCTTTTTAACCAGTACTAACTCGTTTGAAATCAGCTTTTTGGCCTTGTTGTGCAAATATAGCACGTACCCTATGTAGAGACCACAAACAATTGCAGTAATTGCTAAAAAAAAATTTTAAGTAAAACCAGTTAGCAGCAATTTTAAATACATACATATGTACATACACCCAGAAGATAATTTAAGTAGGCCTTCTTAAGTGAAGCCAGTCTAAAAAGCCTACCCAAGAAGGGATGAAAAAGTGCTACCTTGCATGCCTTCTAGAAGGTATTTTCCTATTTACAATTTACTCGAATGTGCAAGTTTATATTTTTTAACATTACAAATGAATTTAATTTTAGATTGCAATAAAGCAAATTTGATATGAATCTTAAATAAATACCTTAAAGAAGTATGATCTTAAGGAATTAAAAGCGCAGCTTTATAAGAACTCCTCCAAAAGGCCTTCTGAAATACAAAATTCTACAAAGCCCTTCTGGAAGCCCTTCTATGAGTAGCGAATGCAAAAGACCTTCAATTTGTGCCAATCTATACAAAAAGAAAGGAGAAAGGAATGTAGAGTGGAAGGCCTCCTGACTCTCAAGAATGCGTTTTGGAAAGGCTTTTAGCTCCTAAAATTATCTACTGGGCATGTATGTATAAGACTAAATACACATCTGTATCTATGTATTTGTATATAACCCTCATCAGTCTAACTCCGGCTACGCTGTGCACAGTATTTTTGCGCGAAACACCTTTCCTACAAACTGAAAAGGCTTCAAGTCACATGTGACCACCAAATCCATATCTATCTTCTATTCACATTTCATTACATTAATGCTGGGCGCATAATATAACAAGACAGCACATTTTGGATAATTTTTCAACAAGTCATTAATGTACCATTCAAATGCGATTTTACTTAAAACGTGTTTCTCAAACGAATCTCTTAATTAACAAACAGTGTGAAATATGTAGATATGTACTTATATAGCTTTCTTAACGGAGTCTTTATTTGCAATTATTGTTAATGAACAAATGTGCTGCGACAAATATCATAAATATTATAAATTAACGAATATTATGCGAATAAAAAGTTTAGTAGAAAAACTCATTAATGTATAAAAGTAAAAACCGTATACATAACATACACATGTACTTAGTAACAGCGAATGTTTTGGTATACGACTTGAAGGCACCCATTCGCGCGCATCATAAAACGTGACTGGGGACTCCGCGCATATAACAAAAACGAAAATCAAAATCGAAAGCCTTGCTTTGCTAGTACGCGAAAAACAGAACGTGGCAACCACCAAGCTGCTGCGGTAGTTTAAACAGGACTCCGCTCCAACTCATAGCGGAAAGTCGACAAAAAAAAAAATCGTGATTGTCCATCTGGTAAGCCCAGGCGTGCCTCAATCGGACGTACTATAAATCATGATCCGTCCTCGAGGCCATGGCTGGCACTACTTGACATCCAGCAGAGGTAAAAATTTCAATCCTTGAAAGGAAATAAGGCGTTCTGCAACTTTTGACCATTGTGTTATACAATAAATATTCCCACGATTTCATTTTATACCAAAATTTTTATTTTTAAACCATTGCAGAATCGTTTTTTTATATTTAATTGAAAAATATCCAATT